CAAAGGTAAAAAATACATACAAAAAGTGAATGGGTGTTCTGCCGGGAAACATACTTTATAAAGTGCAGATCTTAGACTCATCCTTCCGGTCAAGGTTGAAGTATTTTTGTCATAAAATGTCATGGTTTGATTGGAAGATTATGTTTGAGGCCAAGTTTTTTTTTTTTTACGGTTATGTTAAAATGGAGAATATTTCCCAACAAACACACGTCACTCATTAATCTGTGAAACATTCAACATATCAGGGATGAAAAACATCAAAATCCTATCGCTTTTTACATCATCAATATTGCCCAAATACATCTTCCTATAATGTTATCCTTTTTTTTCCTCAATTAAGAAAATAAAGCAAGGCAAACATGTTCTTGATTTCTATAAATCCTTAATACATCCAAAGCACTGAATACCAACAAGAGGCAAACACAGGACTCAGAATAAAAATACAACTACAGTATAAAGATAAATTCTATTACTGAAACTTCAAGGCACAAGACTATGTTAAATAGACCATGAACTTTCTACCACGGTGGAACTGGAATCTATTTCTTATAGTTTATCTTCTGTTTCATTTGACTTTAAATTGTCCTTCTTGCACGATTCAAAGTGCTGCATTTTAGTTGATAAGGGTACATTTCTTTTACTTCAGTTCTACTGTTTAACAGAGTACACAAATTAGAGACATACTAAAGGAGAAAACTCATATCGGATCTGCTGGGTATACTATTGCTATCAAGATAAAATAGTCTATTTCCAATGTTGAAAAAAAAAAAAATGCTAATAATAAAAATAAATCTAACACCGAAATCTACAAATTACTCTAGCCACTACAATTGTTGATACAGCGGCATATGAAGCCCAAACTCAGCTACCAGTTAAATCATTAAAACAAGAAACAAATACTTCAATGAAATAAATCTGTTCATATTAAACAGACCGAAGTGCACAGCTAGCCTTCATTGAACACATTCAGTATTGTATACCTCATGAAAACCTTCGGATCCGGTTAGTGTGGTTGGGCTCAGCTCTTGGAGTGCTGTTTGAAAACATCTTATATATAATAGTAAAGGGCAAGCAATGTCCTATCTTCTAATGGCAATCATGCATATTGATACATGTTCACGTACATAGCATGTATTTTTTGGCTACAGGGACACAAGGACATTCCAAAGCATATTTCACTGCCAGAGAGGCACAAATAACCCAAACAAACAAGAAAGTAAAACAAACCAACCAACATATAAATAATAAAAGTAATTTTCTTATTCTGTCTTCACCCATTTGTAGGGCTCCATTTTTGTCAGTGGGCTTTGAGCGCTACAAAAGGCAAGAAGTTCGTAAAGCAGAGGGTTTTTTTAACAATACATCGTTTCTAGGTGGGCACAAAGGCCCAGCTGATGGAAAAAAAGAAAAATGTACAACAATGAAACGTCTAGTTACAAAACACACACACACCAGTGCACGTCCTACCTATGAAAAATGACCAAATAAAATCCAAGCATTTGAGTAAATTCACCTTCCGCGTTGCTTCGTTGGGATAAAGGGGTTTCTTTAGAATCAAAGGTCACTTCAACCACCTTAGTAAGTCTCCCAAAATAAAGGCACTACCCTTTCTGTTTCAGCCAGACTGATGCAGCTTGTGAGTCGACACTTTAAACTAAGAGTTGTCGTGACTTCAATTCATGTCTGGAGGTTTCTTTCCTTCTGCATTCTTCTTAACCTGTACCACTGAGAATGTGCTTGCAGAGCTCAAGCTAAAGGAATCCATTCTGCTACCTCCATTCTCCTGCTGGAGTTTAGTGAGACCGGGGAGACGTTCACCCCAGACGGGTGTGTGAGCGCTCGAACTCTGACGAGGACAGAGAGTGAGCCGGTGGTGTTCGACAACACTTTAAAGTCTCTTGTTAGACCTCAAGCAATTAAGTGAGTTTGCCTTTACGGCGAGGACCAGACCCTGCGTTCGTCTGACGTGAAAATCCATTTCCTTTATCTGCTTTTGACTACTTGAAATGATTACATAGCCCTTGTTCTGAGCGGAAACGCTCTTGTATTCTCTGTGCCCCTTCCCAGTGAGGGTCGAGGGAGCATGCAGGGGGCTGGAGGAAGAGAATGGAGACACTTTCATTCTTAACAATACTTGAGGGGAAAATGAAAAGATGCAATGCTCCTTTGTGATTGTCAATTCTAATTTAATCTCTTCATTTAGAGACAAAAAATTATATTTTTTCTTTAAACGTATTCAAGATACCAAGAGGCTACTCTAAAGCACACTTGAGAAAAAAGGACCAGTAAGTTCTGTCTCACATGGATTTGAACCCCTTATCGACAGCAAATATCAAAAACATCTCAATCTAGCTGAGCTAACAGATGAAAAGATTACTGAGTGTTATTTAAAACGGTCTGTTATGACGTTTATGTCAGTGGCAATGCACATCCATCACCCAAGCCACAATAACCATGAATGTATAAGATTTAACACACAGACAAAACTGAACGGAAAAGGCTTTGGGGGGAAAAGGGAACCCATCTCACTCTGGGACTATTCAAAACAACAACTGCAATATCTAGAGTATAAAATATTAATTTGCGATGCCATTAGATTCAGGGGTCTATGAATATTGGTTATGCATTTATGAATACAGTGGCGTAGCGGACAGGCAGTGAGTTAGGGGTCTGCGATAACCTCCAACCTCTCTTGCCTCCCCGAGCCCATTGACTACAGCTAAAGCGTGCGGTGGGTTTGGTGGGGGGTAATTGAGAATGAATGGGGGAGATTCACGTGAGAGGAGGCAATGCCTCCATTGCGTAATGATTGGATATGATTGTTTTATGCAATAAATCCCGCCTCTTGTTTTTATGTGTGTTCCGCGTTCTGTCAGAATCAACAAAATTATGGCGTTAATGGGAAGATTAATTAAAAAGTAAGTAAACAATTCAGCCTCTCAGATATCACTGCTTTGTCACGTCCAAATCAAACTTGAAATGGCCTGAAAACATGACTGGGGGGTTTTAGTGAGCGATCAGTTTGGTGAAATTAAAGATACATCTTCGTGTCTGTTGGTGTTTACCGAGCTTGATGACTGATGATCCGAAAATAAGTTGACTAGTAAAAAAGAATAGCTTAACCTCAGTTCACAAATGAAATATATTGTTTAAATTGTCACTGCCTTTCATATTATTTTGGAATAAATGTAAAATTGCTTAAAAGACTAACTTGATGAGATTTAAACTTGGTTTTAATAAATAGAAGATTAATTCCATTGTTAATGTAAAAAATACAAAATAGAATTGTATTTGTTTTGTTTTTTATGTAATGTAAAATAATATTTAACCAGGTAAATTTGACAACATTAAGTGTAACTGGGACATGAATTTGCATTTGATTTATAAAAAACAAACAAACAAAAAAAACGGTGAGGACTTTACCTCTTCATTTCAGAACACCACTGCACGCCACTGATATATATACATAACCAAACGGGTTGGTTTTAATATATATAAAATATGTGGGTCTGCATTAGAATAGATTTGACAGTCAAATGTCATGACGTTTACTAACTTTACTGCCTTTGTCCCCCCCACTATTGACCATAAATATGTGATATCAAATACTGTGAGTGAAATGTAGCCATTATGTGTTAATTATTTTATGATTATCATAATTTTATGAAAGCTAAACTAAACAAAAGTATGGCTCTTTATAATGACGTTAAACATGCATTCTATGCTAACATACATCTGAAGAAAGGTACAACCTCCGGACATGAAACAGAAGTCTGTGCAATGCTAGAAACAATATATGCAAAAAAAAAAAAAAAATTACAAAAAAAAAAGTTTTAAAAGTAAGGTGCATTTCATCTAGGAGAAGAAGCGAAAATGGAACAGAAAGTGCTGTAAAATCCTAAATGTTACATAAACAAAGAAGAACTTCCTCAGTTTGGTTCAAAAATTTCTTTAGAATTAAGTTTCATCCTATCCTAATCATATATATATTATATTATATTATAGTTCATTACTAAGACACTCATTGTCCAATATCTAACCACTTGTCATAATGTGCAGTCCTTCTTTTTGACCGCTAATGTTCTGTGTTATTTTGAAGACTTTAGATTAGAAAACTAATGGAACTATTTCATGATGGCATTGAGTTGAAATGTATGCAAGTTTTCTTTCCTTTTTCCTTTGTCAAGTAATATTTCATAATTCAAAATATATACATTTCTAAAACGTTTAACCCTCATCAATAGTGCTGTGCCTGGTTTTAGAAACCTTTATGTATAGGAAAGACAATGTCGGAGTACTGTAATAAATAGCACGCAAAGCACGCAAGCATCAGCAACCCATGCATTTGACACAACTACAGCCTGACGAGACATTATATAAATATATAGCAATCTATTAACTTTCCTGTCCGAATCATTTTTAGAACAGCAGCTCTATGGTATTAATCTATAACCACACACAGTAAAACCAAACGCTACATTTGAAATGGTATGCTTTTTTTTTGTTAGGGATCTGTGTCACAAGAACACAAGGCCACTATTTAAATTGTACTTAATGGGAAAAAGCAGGTAAACGTAACAAATTCCTTTTCTAATATTCTTTAACTTGAGTTAACATCTACTCCAGACGCTACACTGGACTGTGCTTTCAATATTCCCCAACAAATACATTTGTGCTTTATCTTCCCCACCAAAGAAAATGAAAAATAGAGCTTTCCGCTCTAGTTGCATTTTCTCAGGCACCTCTGAAACGGTGATTAGGTTAAACAAACTACTCATAATTAATATACATATGTGCGCTAAAAATACCAACAAGGCAAAAGGAAATAATACTACTGAATTCAATTGATCTGGCTGGAAATGTCAGCTTGGCACAAACCCACAACTAGGAAGTTCTTTTCTGTCTGAGTTAAACTAGCGTTTTTTTATTTCAAATGCTGCAACAGCTGTGTCCGACTCAAATGGAAAGGTGCAGATGGCCCTTTTTTCTTCAGCTCGCTTTCTTTACGTCTGATTTGCCCCTTCATTTAATGACACAAAAGGGAGAACACACTGATAGGACACCTTTTTACTAGGGTTGAGATGACATGACTATGAGGCATTTTAGTTCTTTCGAGAGCAATTTGATCAGAAAGTTTCACTTACTATGGCGTGTGACTTGTGCATCCATTACCACTTGAGTGCGTTTCTACTTCCTACAAGCACTGACAAAGGAATAAGGGGTCTAAGTGAGTGCTAAGATATACTAATACAAAGATATAGTGGGAAATAAAAGTAAAGAAAAAGGTTAGCAGAGAATTCATCCGGAAGCAAGAGAATTATCGCCCCGCGTCCAACCCACAGAGAGAACGAGACACAACAGCTGCCTTTTGTTTCAGTACGTTTACATTTGTGTATATTTTTGTTTCCTTTTTCTTTTTTCCTCAGTAAAAAAGAACGAAAAATCACTCGTCTTGCTGCGACCGCCTCCGCTTCTTCACACGCGACGCCGCTGCCAATCGGTCACTTAGTCAGTCAGCTCACTGGTTCGCTCACTTGTGTCCGGGACTCGACCGTTTCCTCTCGGCTCGGCCTCGGGACGGCGGAGGGAGGAACAATGTCTCTCATCTCCTTGCCTTCTCCCATCACAGTCGTCTGCTGCCCTCTCAGGTCAGCGGAGGCCATCTTGCTTGCGTTCTGAGCGTCCCTGCTTGAGGAGCTTTCAGTTCTCGCCTCCTCCCTGCAGGCCACGTGCTCCGCTTTCGGCCTGGAGGTGCTTAAGTCCTGGGGTTCGTTCTCCATGGTCGCAGGCGCCGGCGGCCCCCCGTGCGTGGAGTGACCCAGGGAGAGCTGGTGAGCCTGCGGAGTGTAGGTGGAGGGCGGCATGGCCTGCAGGTGGTGGTGTTGGTGGTGGTGATGATGGTGGTGGTGTTTAAAGTGCTGCCCTCGCTGATCTCTCTTCTTGTGACTCTTCAGTCCTCCGCCGCTGGTTGCCGTTCCGCTGCCGCTGCTGCTGCTGCCGTTCCCTGGGTCTGTGGATGCCTCTTTGTGCTTCCGGCCGGGATGCTTGTGAGGCCTCTGTCCCGTTTCTACCTCCTCACCTGCAGGGGTCACAGTTGATGTAATCAGTCGTTTTGCAAACGTCTCCGTCGGTGTGGTTCCAGAGGTGGTAGATCCCTCCAACTCCTCCAAAGTCTCTCGAGTTTTGCGTTTCTTGATAGGAAGCGCCCTCTCCTGAACAGGCTTTAAGGAAGACTCCTTCTGAGCTTTTTTCTTGGCCTCTGCGGAGAGAATGGCCGCGGCAGCGTACGCGGCGGCTGAGCCTGTCCCCACTGCTGACTGAGAAGCAGCTGCTGGCTTGCGCCCACGTTTTTTGGGGGTGCTCGGCGGTTCCTGTTCCGATTTCCGTTTGCGCCCTCGGCGCACTTTGGCAACTGCCGCTTGCCCCAATGGAGCCCCCTGTTCAGTTTTAGGTGCAACAAAGGGCATCTTTACAAGGAGTTTTCCCGGACTCTTTTCTACGACACGCTTTACCGCCACCCCTTCCGTGGCCTGCCGTACCTTGCCGCTGCCTTTTGGGCGGCCCCTCCCACGACCGGAGGGTTTGACCACTTTAGGCTTCTTTGGCGGTCTCTTTTCTCTACGAGATGGGCTTCCTCGGCCAGTCACTGTGAAGTCAAAGTCATTGGGATCCGTGGTGGTATCGCCCACCTTTTGGAAGTACGCCATGAGCTCCACTTTGGAACGGAAGGCTTTCCCTTCTGGGCTGAAAAATAAAAACAAATACATTACTATGAAATGACAGTAATTTAAAATTAATTTGAAAGAACATTTGAACTTGAGAAAGCTCTATGTGTGCAATATTTGCAACCATACAAGTACATCATACGCACCTGTGGTGCAAATCTGAATATTTGATTTGATTTCATGTTTATTCTTAAAATAAAGTATTGTGGGAACTGCGACACATAAGTCAGTGTTCAACAGCATGCACCCTTCATTCATTCATCATGTCAAATTATTTGGAAGAACAATAAACTACAACAAATCTTGTAAATCAAGCTCTAAAACACAAATCTCTGTGGCCCCAACCAGTGTAATGCACAGCTCTCTCTTTCTACACATGCAATTCAGATTTATTAATAACTAATGAGTTATTCTATCAAGCTTCAAATACTGCTGGAACCAGTTACGCAAACTTCCCTTGGCAACTAGATGAAATTAAATATTTTTTAAACATATTTTATATTTGATTTCAATTAAGGTTTATTTTGATTCAAGTAACAAAAATGTTTGTTTTTTTATGGTTTTAGTTAACAATACTATCCCCGCCTCAGACAAATCAGCTGTAAATCTGTGATTAAGACTTCAGCAACAATAAAATGGGAGGGATTCTTACTCAAAACATTAGCATATTAGTATATAACATTAGTATGACTTTGTTTGGGCCACAACTTTACTTTATACTTTATTTCGAATTTATGCAAAAGAACATCTGACAAGAAAATAAAATCAAGCAAACAAATCAAAATGATTCCAATAACACAATAAAACAAATTAATTAACAATAGTTACAGTCAAAGACTTTTTTTTTTATTATTACTCTTGTCAATGTCCATTACATATTCGAAAAAAAGTGGGAAGAAGAAAAAAAAAACGTATTTAATCCCACCCCCTATCCACAATTCAAAAGCTTACAATAAGTCGACCCACGTTCCATGTATTCATAAATCTACTTTGTTATACCCCAAAGCAAAAAAAAAAAAAAAAAAAATACTATTAAATAAATGATCAATTATTTAAACAGGAAAATAATAATTAAATAAATAATATAGAAGAATAACTTAGAAATATCAGTAGCTCAGGAAAAGAAATGACATAATAATAATAACAACACAAAGAAACGGAAAATAATTACTAGCCCCAAAACACTCATTGATTATTCACCCCATTCTTCATCCCTGTATCTCTTAAGACAATATCTTTATACCTGATTTTAAACTGATTTATGTTTGGACATTGCTTTAGTTCATCGTTGAGACTGTTCCATAGCTCTACTCCAGAGCTTGAGATACAAAAACTTTTTCTAGTTGTCCAAATTCTGTTAACTGAAGTTATGTGTCCCCCTTAAATTATAACCTCCCTCTCTTACCCTGAATAATATTTGAATATTTCTTGGCAATACATAACGTTACAACATAAAGTTGTAACATTATGTATAAAAAACAGTTTAATACATAATGTTACAACTATATATACAGTGAGAGACCAGAGACATCACAAGCTGGCTTTGGCATGATGGACAGAAGTACACAATGAATAAGGTTCAAATAAATAATCTATTATATATGTAAATAAAATGGTTTTATTTCCGTTGAACGGGGAATATAGCACATCAACTGAGGCCGTAAGGTTTTCCAGTGTTAACAGCTTTAGTTTTGTTGCGTTTGCAACATGACGCCAAGTGAATCTTTTAAAGGGTCACTCCACCCATTTGCATTAAGAGGTCCATTGTTAGACAACCAGTCATACTATTGAATGGTCGTGCAACATTCTTTCATTTTCCCCTGAGACGAGAGAAATCTACTATTTACCTTTTTCACTTCCTCCTACAATGACGCAAAAATCGTCATTTGACGTCATTGTAGGAGGAAGTGTAAAAAGGGGGGATTTCTGTATAGACTACAAGCACAAATTCCCACCCTTTCAAACCCGCCCATAGGGGGTTGTGCCTAATGCGCTAACAGAGCTATCACAGATCAGTGGGTGGGACTTCACTTGCAGATACTGAAAGCAATATCAGCCATCTTGTTTATAAGCTAAGCTAACAAGCGCTGTGGAGATAGGAAGTTACGACAATGACGGAAGAAACTAAACATGATATGGAAGTAGAGGATTTTGAAATTCTGCTGCTCGAATCCGCTCTTCGTGGCTATCTTTACGAGCCGCAATATAGTGAAGAGCAGCTGAGGCTGATGGAGGATCAGGAGGCGGCTGCCTGTCGCGAACGAGGAGCCCGGACTGGGTCGAGCTGAGGCGGGCTGCTGGTGCGTGTGCTCTCGCTGTGCGCTACGGACACAGATAGAGTCCGTCTGCTGCAAAGAATTTCAACGATCGCAATTTCTCCTAGACGAAATCTCTGAATCAGACGACCACACGGACGTTTGTGTTGTGATGTGAACCATCCTAGTTTCGCCTGACTGAAAATCCAGATATCATGCAATAATTCACCATATAGAAAGAAATACAAACGAGTAATTCACTAATGAGTTTGCCAATGTAACGGGGTTCGTTGTTGTGGGAAGAAGGAGGCTGGAACCGGCGAACATTTAAACATTTTAATAGTAAAATAAACAAATACAAAACAAAAGTATAAGCCAGCTGGCCACACACAACAGAAACAAAACATAAAATCAGGCCTGTTCCTTTTATGCTTCCGCTCCTCCGTGAGAGATATGAGACCGCTGCACAGGTGCCATTCATTATCACTCGCGTCGTCCTCTCACGTCCCTCGCCCTCGTCCTGCTCGCCACAGCCAACTAACTAGACATTTTTTGTGAAATGAATTTCAAACTCATTTAGCAGCTAGCCTTCTTGTAGACGGAAGAGTGATTTCTCTGATGTTTGCGCTGTTCTGGATTAGTGGGAGTGGCTTGCGGAGCTGTGCAACGTGGTGCATTGTGGGAGTTGTTGTCTTACATACAAATGCGCCCTAAAGTTATTTTCTGTCTTTTCTCGGTCAAGAGGGCACCAAATTCAAAATTTCTTTTACATTTCGACTACATATATAACCCACTTTCAATAAAGATTAATGTTGAAATGGGTGGAGTGACCCTTTAATTAGAAGTCAGTGACTCTCCAAACACAATAACGCAACTTTAATAATGACTGATTTGTTGCATCTGCCATTTGGAATGCAACATTGTGAAATTAATATAATCACAGTTGCTCTCAAAAAAAAAGTACAAACTTCCTGTAACTTGTACTAACTTGATCAGGTAGACATCAAATTTGCCAGCAGATCGGCCCGACTTGCGCTGTTTCAGCTTGCGCGTCCAACCTTGAGGCAGTGAAGGGTCGTCATACAGTGGGCCTCTGTCCCGAATGATGGAGCGCCGCTGCTTGGCTGATGCAGAAGATTCTGGAGCGCTGAGAGCGGCTCCAACTTCGGGGTCAATGGGTTCAGACTTCCCTGCCTCCGCCTGTTGTCCGACATCCCCCTGCGTAAAGAGGCGCGGGGGAGGAGGAACAGATACTGTGGCCTCGAGTTTTTCCACATCTTGCCGTTCCTTTTTGTTTTTCTTCTGCTTCTGTGTCTTGTCTTTTGAGCCCTCCTGGTCTTCATTCTTGTCCTCACCTCTGCTGACAACACAAGAGATAAGTGGCACACTGAGACAGGATGACAGTATTACGGGTCTGTATTCTAGTCAACCGCTTGTCTAAATGTCTACGAAGTATTTTTTAAACTGGACACTGGACAGAAGTGCTGCGTTTGCATGTTAGCCATCATCAAATCAATATTTTGGCTTCAAAGCATGCTCATTTTCAGATCGCACAAGCTCGATTAAATACCACCACCAAGCAGGCGGGAAGTGGCCTGAATTTAAAGTGTTAGCATAAAACTTGACTGATGCAATTCGCATCTTAACAACTTTGGACGTCATCCTCAGGATGTCTATTTCGTAATTTCAGGAATAAACAAGTTCAATTTGATTTCTACTGTGCATACAGACACACGGAAATCACCCTGGAGGTGTTAAGAGGCCTTATCTAGAAAAACCTCAACGTGGAGGCTGAATCATTGTCTTCAGGCGACGAAGGAATTCCCCACTTGTCTGTGGCTTGTCCCTCAAGGGGACCAACTCTGTGTTTTTTACAAAAGTTAACTAAACAACTTAATTTGCCTTAGACTTTGCAGATGACTCTAAATACGTATGTTTTTGTCATGACCACATGGTGGCTTGGTGTTTGAGAAATTAACAAAATGAACAAAATATTAAAAAAAAAAACATTAAAACATCACATCACAATTAACAAGAAATATACGTTGTGAACTAAATCATTTCCATATCTCCAGCAACTGAGATTTAAGAGAAACAAATAACTAACCAAAATATGTTGCCTATTTATTTTAATATATAATTATTCTATTTATATTTTTTTCTTTAACATCATACAGTACTGCTTCCCTAGTTTTGGGATACAAAACTTCCACACTAAAACCAGATTTAAAGGACACTGTTTTTACTAGATTTCCTTATCATTTACAGTTACTCTATCAGGGTGGAGACTGGGATCATCGTAACAGAACCAGCATGTTCTAATCTCAAATGTTGTGTCACTTTCAATAATAGTGCAGTGTTAAAATTGAGATGACAGAGTCAAGTGATGAACACATTCATGAAGTTTACCGGATATAGATAAAGCTGGAATGATTAATCTGTTCTTTTCTGTTGCACTCCCTTAAACAATCAATAACAGTTGGCAAAAAAGAAAAGGAAAAAAAGTCAGTCATGTTTCAATACCACACACACCACAATCTCACACTAAAAACAAACATTAATTTAATATTATTAAGTTTCATGTGTGCCAAATAGCACATCATTATACTATATTGCAAAGAAAGGTGCATATTTCAATTCTATCAAGCCAATTTTTTAGTATAGGATCATTCCTTGTCAACTCAACCAGAGGTCCCCGGCTAAACATTTCCATTTTGATCTTTTTTTTTTCTGGTGAAAGAAATACATAAAAGAAAGCCACAATATTAAATGTCATGAATGTATATTTACTGTTTTGTAGAGGGTGGTCAAAATTACAATTTTCACACACTCTCCATATCTCTGGGATTTTAAGATCTCCTTTTCTCAGGGATTGAACCATTATGGCCTTTAAAATCAAGTGTTTGATAACAATCTAAAAGGATATTAAAATATATTTAATACTTCTTGAGTTACAGGCATGCAAACTTGTTGCAAAAAACACAAGAAGTGCTTTTCCCCATTTTTGAACCGTCACCGATGGCATACAATGCAACAAAGATTTCTAAAGTCAACAGATTTAACTAAATAACCTAGCAATCTCGGTGTAAATATAAAATAATGATGTTTCCATCTTTTTAAAGTAATTTTTACCCCCCTGTAATTTGGCTCCAAATCTCATGTGAAAATTGTCATTTTGACCCTCCCTCTACAAAACATTGAATTACATGTTCAGTTTGTCTTTCTTCAGAAAAAATATTAACAAAATCAAAAATTTTGGTTCTGAAATTTGGTTGATTTGACATGGAATGACCCTATACATACTGCTCACATAGGCATATTTCCAGTATGCATAGTGAAGTATAACTAGCTATTTAACTTGCACTATACAGCCTGAGCAAACTATGTGGAGTAGCATTTCCCACAATGCAATTTTCACCAGTTTCAAAGTTTAATAGAGCGCAACAGTTCCACAAGCAGAAATCACATTTTCTCCACAGAGGAATTGATTTAATAACATAAACATTTCAAGAGCTCAGTGACTGTTAAGCGATCATATCTTATATGCTTCTTCTTTTTAAATGGTTTATTAATTTTTTTTTAATTTACATCTGAATTGCGAGTGAAAAACAACACTATCCACAATCTTGAAATGAAATCCACACATTATCATTTATATGGAAATGGGAACCGTGGCAAAAAGGTTCAGCAGCGACCGCCCGCCCACTCCCATAAAGCCCTGCAAACAACATGACCAAGTCCGTCTCCCTAATCTCAAAATACTTATTTATTTCCATACATATATGAATATTCTGGAGTATACATGACTTAGAATGTAATGTTTTACTTATAATCAATCAGTTTAAGTTTGCATGTTTGCCTTATTCAATCGTGTCATTCACAATGCTTTATTGGATGAGGAGTAAGAAAGATGATAGTAAAAGAAAACAAAAAAGTGGTTTCTTTCTAGTTGATTTAGTTGATGTATACAATTTTAAATAAAACAACAAAGTTAAACAAACACGTCCCTGTCCTGGAGACTGCGCTACATCTTCAGTGACACAACATTTACTAGACTTCTTGATTTATATCTTTAGAGCATTAGAGTGTCATTAAAATACATTTCTGCAATCACTTTGTTAAATAAAGAATTCAAGAAAATACAGTAGCCTAATAATAATGTTATTTTAGGCAAATTATTTCTTATCAAATGCCTGTTGTGCAAAAACAAAACAAAAAAACAGCATCAATTCATCACACTTGTTGCCCAAATATGTTAATCTGGCATAAAACACTTTTGGCAAGTTCACATGCCCTGTGGTGTGACTTGCAAAACTCCATTCATAAATATTTGAAATAGCATTGTTCTACATTTTACATAAATACTATGCATGCACCGCACTATACTATACTATGACCTCAAAAATGAGAAACTACATGGAATATTTTTTACTTCAAGTTCATCTATATTTGAAAAAATCAGTCAAACCGCAGGACCATTTATTGAGAAAGTTATTGTTAACAGTCACAGGACCTAATATAGTGAAACACCTTCCCTACACATTAAAATCTTGTTGTTACTATGCATTTATGTATTCATTTACAACTTCATGTTGTGTTACATGCTCCATGAATTTAGGGCAGATAGTTCATTTGGCATAGATAAGATTATGGGCAATATGACCAAAATCTTATATCATGATACAAGTCATTTTATTTCACGATAATAATAAATATCACAATATAGTTATTTTTGCTTTAAATAAGGTTTTTATGATATACTATATCTTTCATAATACTAGGCTAAGTAAAAGAAAAAAAACAAGCTTAAGACAAGTAAACAGTCAGTGATAAAATAAAAACAAAGAAACTAATTACAAATAAATAGGACAAAACTACAATAGAACAAGGAGACAAGTGAAATAGACCTACCTGAAAATCTTCAAGCACTAAATAAGAAATACTACATAAATTGTACAAAGTAATTAAATGTACAAAAAAACACTGCGTAGTCTTCACTGTGTAAATTAAATGATGGGATATTCTTCTTAAAGTGACAAAAGTGATTCAGTCAGGAGTAGCGAGTTATTATTTTCTCTGTCTGTTGTTGTTTGATTAACATTAATGACAGGTATATTAGGCTACTGTCACTTTAAGACCGAATCTGTTTATGTTCACTTAAGACATAAATGACTGTTGATACGTCCATTCTGACACAATAGTGTGTGTATCTGACCTGGTCAAGCCCAATAACGTCTCAAAAAGTACAGTATTCACATGCTCTATGAGCAGCAGCTTCATACAGCGCACAATCGAACACAAAATGAGTTCTCTTTCGCTGCTTATTGCGCTTCAACAGTTTAAAATCACTTGTTTTAAAACAGCAATGCTTAAAAATGCATACAAAATCATAAGCCTTTATGACCACACAGCACAGCAACATCACGTGAACGTAACTGCAATAAAGACGATAGTCCAAAATCTTTAACCGGCTGACAAATTTCTACCGGTTAATAGTGTTTACCGGTATATCGCCCTCCCCTAGATGAGATATTCTGTTCATTAGCCATATAATAATTTATAGGTTTGACCTTATGCATGAACTAACCATTTATGAGATGAACACCACAGTAAGTTTTCTTTAAGCCACAACCTATTGGGGGCAGGTCAATTAAAGAATCATGATGAAAGCTGATTGATTTTTGGTCATTATTAAGTTTCACATTATTGTGAATGTTGACTGTACAATTAAATACTATGTAGGAGCTTCACAGGAGACGGCGGAGGCCTAAATCAATTAATATCTGCATTAGACAGCTCCTTATGTTCTGATCTTACATAGTTCACCCAAAAATGAAAATAATCCCATAATTTACTCACCCACGAGCAATCCTAGGTGTATGTCTTTCTTCTTTCAGCTAAACACAATCAAAGTTATATTAAAAAAATATCCTAGCTCTACCAAGCTTTATAATGGGGAGTGAATGGAGTGAGGAGTTTTTGAAGCTCCAAAAAAACACATCCATCCATCATAGACGTAATCCATACGGCTCCAGGGGGGTTAATAAAGGCCTTCTGAAACAAAGCGATGCGTTTTTGTGAGAAAAATATCCATATTTAAAATGACATTTCCCTTTAAAAATTCTCATGTTTGACTTCTAATTCGTGACAAGCGTTATGTTTTGCTCTATGGTAATGCGTTGGGTCAGAGGTCACTTTTCTGCTAGAACGAGACTCGCGAACGGCCGTTACCGTAGTGATTATAGTTTATAAAGTTATAAAAATGGATATTTATCTAACAAAAACGCACCACTTTGCTTCAGAAGGTCTTTATTAACCTCCTGGAGCCTAATGGATTACTTTTATGATGGATGATGGAAGTGCTTTTTGGAGCTTCAAAAACTCAGGCTCTATTCACTCCCATTATAAAGCTTGGAAGAGCCAGGATATTTATTAATACAACTCCAGTTGTATTTGGCTGAAAGAAGAAAGTCATATACACCTAGGGTGGCTTGAGGGTGAGTAAATTATGGGATAATTTTCATTTCCGGGTGAACTAACCCTTTAAGAACAATTCGTAAATAAGAACAAGTAAGATAAGAACAAATATACCATCCTGGACAATCAAGGATCATGTTTAGCCAGCATGAACAACTGTCGCTGAAAAAACATAAGTCAGAAAGATTGTAACATGTTTATTGGAACGAGTTGGAATGAGTCACTATAATGAAAAATCAATTTGCCCCATTTCAAACAACAATATAGTTTAGTGAGCACATTACTTCCATAATAAATGTTAAAAATTATAATAGATAAAACTATAAAATATTCCAAAAACTCAATGTCATCTAGACCAAATGACCCAGTACCTGCCCTTGTAATTCATGGAGCATGCAACACAGCAAGAAGTTGCACAGGATTCAAGTTCAGCCTTCGAGACATGTCACAAGTGTGTGTAAAAGACATGAACCAGTGTTTTGCGTGTTACTCCATTTGTGCAAATCGACTTGCGGTCGACCACACACACGCACATATAGACAAGTATGATGCTGCTAGATCCGTTAGCTGGTTACCGGAAGTCAGCAGCTCAACAATATATCACCAGCAGTCTGCTATCACATGGGAGTGCCTTGTGCACTGCTAAAGCAAGCTCTCACTATCTATTTCAGTTTTCAGTGATGCGAGAAGAACAACAGTCGCATTAACAGTGTTTTGCACCTGGAGTTATATGGTTTGCAAGCTGCAGGGGCAAAATGAGCAGCAATAACAACACAGACACACGCAGTGACATCAGACAGAGAAATAGCACATTGGCCAACTTGCTTGCATATGCAAACTTGGTACCTGATGATGTACAGCAACCTACACGCCGCCACACCATAACACTGAACTAAAACGCATCTTAACCTCGTTTCTAAGCACTTAACGTTAGTCAAGTAATTCCACGCCAGGACAGGCATATCTATCTGGAGCAAATCTCATTTCAGTCCCCTGCCTTGTCCTGCAGCGCCACAAGCAAGCTAACTTACTTCAGTCTGCTGTTTTTGACAGCTACCGAACACTTAGAATTAAACAACACGGGAGCGGCGTAACATTCACGCGAAAGAGCCACGAATATCAGCAAAACAAAACATGTGTGCGTCCAAACCCGCAGGCAGCCCTTCGCGCTACATTTTAGAGGAGTTTTTGAAGTAACGTCAGAAATCGACACCAAACACACATTGGGATAAAGCGCACGGCTCTCGTGCCGCACAATGTGTCCGTTGATCGTGGAAAAAGAGCGGGAGAAATACGAGTGACGTATTCTCAACGCCTTCGCGGGCTAGCGCGGCTAACATTCCCCCCTCAGCCCGCCTGACAAAATATCACAGCGACGATCAAAACCTACGCCATCGCCGCTCGCGACGCCTGACACTGGAAGCCGTGACAATGGGAATGGATACGATTCACACTTACAGTCTCTCCTCTCCGCTCTCTGCGGCGGCCATTTTTATTTAAATAAATAAATTTCCAAAAAATCACGCAACATCTTTGTGGGTACCCCTCACCCTCCTCTCCCACTCCCTCTAACACAACACCATCCTTCGGAAGCGAGTTCTCGCGAGAGGTGAGGTGGAAGGGAAAGGGGGTAACGAGTACGTTCTCGCGAGAGCTGAGAAGTGGATAACTAGAGAGGGGAACAACGTCCAGGGCGAGGAAAGCTGCATTGCACACCATAATAACAGTGCATAACTGTATTATACCATTCTGTGATAAAGCCCTGTTTCCTTAAGATAAATTCATATCAAGGTTTTGAACGTGTTTTCAGACATTTTTGTCTTGTGATAAAAGTGCAGACTTTAAATACCCTTTTCAAACAAGTCTGCACCTATGGGGAAGACTAGTCTTTCACTAATAAATAAGGAAACAAATTATGAATTAAATAATACAAATTTAAATGAACAAAAAACTTTTCTCATTGAATAGATATTTGCAGTTTTATTTAATTCAGACACACACACGTCATGTTTTTGGGGACTTTCCATAAACATCATGATTTTTAAAGCAACTCTACAAACTGTATTCTATCCCTTTACTCTAGCCCTACCCTAAAAACCTACCTTGCTCTGCAGCAGATCTATTCCGCCAAGACCACATACATTAACATAGCCATTTCCATTACCATGCCAATCTCTATTACCATACCAATCTCCCGAGAGTTGTCATGACAGACTGACATTTTCATGTGAACAATCAACAAGTGCTGCTGTGGGGTGATGTTTTCAAGGTTATAGTTTGTAATTATTATTTTTTTCAACTTCCTCTTTTGACACATGAATGTGATAATGTGGTAAGAAGAAAAAAATGAAAAGGGGAATTGAGAGTATTAGGGTTCATCCCACGTCTTTTCTCACAGGCCTAAACGTGGTTGACAGACTTGGCAGAAAGCAGAAAAGAAATACACAAAAAACTGTTACCTTTAAAATGGATTCAACATGCGCACGATAGCATCAATAAACACTCTCATTTCAAATATATATCCCGTCCATATTTAGATTTTACATGGTAAGATCTTTAGAGATTTGGGTTTCTGTTTTAGCTTTTGGAGTTGTTGGGACTGTTTTTTTTTTACATTTAGTTGAGCTTAGTTTTGTCCCCCTGCAACCAGAAAACACTTGCTTGGGTACACACTCAACAACACTTGCTGTTGAAACAGTGTGAAACATCTAAAACAGTGAAAACAGAATAAATCTGACAGCTAATTTCTTGAGAGGCACTAAATCCATACTAAACCTATCATCAATAGATGAAATAGAAAAAAAAATAAACAGATGAATGCACTACCAGGACATAGGCCTATTGGATCCACATTCTAAATCTGGGGCATTTTTGTCATTTTCAATACATTTTTTTTACAGCAAGCACTGCTTAATTTCTGACCTTTCCTGGAAAAAAGTAGTGATGGAGTGATCCTCCAGGATACCTACAGGTCTCCATTTTTAGATGCGGTGATACAAGTGGTACTTCCTTCTCAGTAACAAAAACTTGTAACATTTGTAACACATTTTAACAAACAATTTCTGTTTTAATTTGTGTGTGTGTGTGTGGGGGGGGGGGGGGGGGGATGGGGGATTGGGGGGCCTGACTCAACCCTCTGGGGTCAAAATGTCCCCACAAAGATGGCAATTTCCAAAATCTCTGTCCTTGTGGGGACATTTTTGGGTCCCCATGAGAAAACAGCTTATAAATCATAGTGATGTTTTTTTGAAAATGTAAAAATGCAGAACGTTTTCTGTGATGGGTAGGTTTGTCAACAAGTTTGGGATCAATAATATTATATATATATTTTTAATGTTTTTGTCTTATGCTCACCAAGGCTGCATTTATTTGATCATAAATACAGTAAACACAGTTGATTTATTGAAATGTAATTTATTCGATGGCAAAGGAATAATCAACAAATGCTTCAGTGAAGGTTGAACCTGGCTTTTAAACCCAGCTTAAAGACCCATTTTTACTCTCTCGCATTTGAGTAATATTGTGTATGTATTTTAAATAACTTGGTGTTCTACGTTATGTATGTGCTGTTTGTATATATACTGAATGGTTTGATACTTCATTTTATCTCTTTTTTTTTCTTTTTCTACTACTACTTTTTCTTTTTCTCTTTTTATTCTTTTATTCTCTTTTAATTTTTATTATACTGTAAAGCACTTTGGATCAACTACGGTTGTGTTAAATTTGTGCTATATAAATAAACCTTGACTTGACTTGACTATGGCCTATATAATGATGTAGGCCTATACATACAATTTCGTGATTGTGAATGAATTTACACAAAATTGCTGAAATTAAACACATTTTACACAATATTTGACCCATAATTCACTCACACACACACACACACACACACACTCATGCTTTATAGGGACTTTTTAAACATAATGATATGTAGTCTACAGTATATACAGTATATTCTCTCCCCTTACACCAACCCTACCCCTCTTCTGCTAACGTATCAATTTGACTCAAGAAAATCGCGTGGACTAACGCAACCACAGGCCACATTCACTCAGCTTGTAGGCGGATCCCCATCCATGGTGGTTAATGAGACAAATGAACTGAACGCTCGACGCTGGCGTGGTGCGCGTGCAGTGAAGCTTTTAGGTTTTTGTATTAGTCATATAATACAGATTATTTCTTTTAAATCACCTCTGTTGTGCGTCCATCAACTCCACGCGGTCTGCAATGTGGACCACGGCATTTTGGGGCATCGCAGTTGTTGTCTGTGCCGTGAGTAGCGATAGAAGTTTAGAGGACAAGGGCCGCGTGGAGTTACTGCGAGTGCGTGAATTGTCGCAGCAGCCGCGTTATGGCGCGTGCTGGTCTCGAGCGCTGGAGAAAATACAGTCAAGCTGCAAAGATTTCAGTGATGATGTGCAGAGCAAGATTGCCTTGTCCTTCACGCACTGCCACCTGCAAAGGTCAAGAGCTTATTTTACTGGAATCAACTGAAACTCGTTGTACCAGCCAAAGGTTGTTGGGTGGTTTAAGATGATCTCGTAGCCTGGCAAAGCTGGTTTTCATCTGATCACCCATTCTGACTAGTGTTCAAGGACAACAGATCAGACTGGGAGATCTGCAAACCAGTTTAGCCTCGTTTGAGCTCCATTTAGGCTAGTTTTAGTCTGTCTGTCATCTATCTATTTGTCTATAGATGTCTATATATCTGTCTATCGTTCTATCTCTATTTATCTGTCTGTCTATCATCTATCTGTCTATCTTTCGGTCTGTCTGTCTGTCTATTGCTCTCTATCATCCATCCATAAGACATTTATCATATTCTTTTCCCTGCTGTCTATGACTGAACTGAGTTGAGAAGCACTAGTTTAGCCACAGTGTTGTGACTTCATTCCACATTAAATTTCTAATGTTTCTAAATGTCTCTAATTATTTATTGCAGGTCAGGTCGTAGTTTCCCAGAGTGTCCTGAAGGCAGTGATGTCAAAACCTGCACACAAGACATGGATCCTGTGGCCTTCAACACCTACACTGAGTTTTTTACCCATGCACACAGTATATGTCATTATTTGCAGAGTGAGCGCTGGCAACAAAGAGCTGAGAACACCATTTACAGGTACAAAGGTCCCTGGGTGCCTATTTCGAATATGAAGGGTATTTATGTGTATAAAATATTAATGTAAGCCAATGTTCATCTGTGTTTCAGGTTGACTGAGAGTTCAGCAGGGGTGGCGGAGCAGTTGGCATCTACCCAGCGGATGGCAGAAGATCTGGTTGTGGCCCAAAGTGCCGCGCTGAAATCCCAGGAGAGCATCCTTCGCAATGGAGAGGAACTCAAGAGCACCCTGCAGGACTCAACTCAAGGTGCTGGTTACTATCTAAATGAGAAGGGAATATGTTTATGGAAGTGTGCCATTTGGTTTAGAGTCACTTACAGTAAAAGAGTTTGCAATAAAATGTTAATATATATATATAAAAAAAATAGAAACCAAAAGATAATACTGTTAAGGTAATTTCAGAACTAGGATGCTGAAATTCTGGTTGATATATGGATGTGTAATGTATAGTATAAAAAAAGAAAATGTATTTTAAGATTTGATAGAATTACAATTAACAGTATTATTCATGTTTTTAAAGAAGGTAATGTAAATGTGAAAATTGGGGAAATTAGTGTGCACAATGAAATATTCAATATCAGTAATAAAAAAAACAACTTAAATTTAATATTTGCTGATAATAACCCATATGTTACCAATATATCCCTAGTAGAGGTCGCCTTTCCAATAAGAAGGCCTGTTTCAAAGAAACAGTTGGAGAGGCCCTCATATGAGACAAAGTCAGACAAGCATTTCATATGGAAATATGAGATACCATTTATATTCATCAATGGTATCTCATATTTCACTCACAATAGTCTATTTATAAATGCATTGTATCTACCACTACGCATTCTATCTCTTTTAACCATAGTGAAATTCTACTTTTAAATATGAAACTAAACCGACAGTAGGTGGCGGCAACTCATTGTCTTAATCATAGACAGTAAAAGAAATGGACACAGCGACCCCATAGACTTCAACGGAGAAAAATGAAGTCAATTAGAAGCACTCACTTCCTGATTGCCAAGCGCACTGCCACTGCGCAGGCTCAAACTGAGCTTGAAGACGTAGATGTGACGTGAGCAACTTGTACGTCTTCTAGTAGCTGTGCCAAGAGGAATCTGAATCATTCCCTTCCGAATCTTGGAGAGCCGGAGTTCGTGAGTATTAGCTGTCCATGAGCTAGCAGCAGGAGCAACTTTATGACACTCTATGGGCTTCTCCCTTGACTTTATGCCTCCACGTCCCCCCGATTGCGTGCGAGCTTCTACTTCTGTCTATACGGTAATTTCTCTACTGTGCGACAGAGAGTCGCGTGTTATGACGCAATCGTTAGCCTATTTTTACAAAAACGGCTTCTACGGGGCCATAACGTAAGATACATGGTAATGGAGCCTTTTATACATTGTCGTGTTTCTTTAGAAATAAACAATGGACAAATGGAGTCTTTAAACGCCTCAGATGTAAAGTTATTCGCTGTCAAAGTGACGCAAAAATGAATGGGAGTCAATGGGATGCTAACAGCAGGTGAAGGCTTGTTAGCCAATGGCGGCGCCCGGGGAGACTTCAGTTTCCGGCTGGTGGATTACCCCCTTGGTCTTAATGAGTGAGTCATTGAATTATTGAAATGGTCCTCACTGCAGAACATGAAATCCACGTCGGGGAGGAGTCGGATCCAGATCCAACTCCTCCCACCTTACATATACCTAAACCTACCCATCTCCGCCCCCTGATCCCTAACCCCACCCCTAATCCTACCCATCTCCACCCCTTGGATCTTGATCCGACTCCTCCCCGTGGATCTCATGTATTGCATTGAGGTGCTACTGGAATTATTCCCTCAAACGATTCGTTCAAAATGTCTGATTCATTCATGTATGAGTGAGTTGAGTCGTTCATTAGAAGGATTTGTTAAAAAACATGGAGTCATTCAGTAAGGAAACATCACTGTGTTGCTCGGAGACGTGCAGTGGCTCTCTTGTGGATTTGTTTGGAATTATTTTCAAATAGAGCAACAGACTATAGTCTAAAATGTCTCTCGATTTTTTTCGAGCGCAAGCCGAGGCCCTACTTTTTATTACAGATTTTGCAAGTTTCTGCAATTAATTCAATTTATTCTGCAATTCATTTTTGCTTAACCATTTAACATGCAGACTCCATTCCAACTGTTTTGTAGATCATTTGAGCCTAATTTGAGCATGTTGTAGAGATGAGGCAATCATTGAACTGAATGTATGTGCTTGACCTCAAAATGTCTTGTCTTTTACTTCGTTCTTTGCATGTGTGCTATAATCCAAACTGAGCTAAAATGCTTGAATGTTTCAGGTCTGAAAGATGTATTTGCGGAGATGAGGCATTCTGCGCAGGAGCAGCAGGTGGCATTTGCGGAAATCTTTAACCGTGTAGCTTTCCTCCAGAGCTTCATCATGTCTGAGACTCACACGTTCAGTTCCCTCTTCTACAATGCTCTGGGCTTCGGCGCCTCTTATCTTCTGACCTCTGTACGTCGTACAGCTGGAGCCAGGTGAGTAGAAACCAGTCAGTCAGTGCCGACAGTGCTTGTAGAATAGATAATGCTGTAGAAATAGTCAAAAGATTATATAATTTTTTAATGTTATTTCATTTTTCCCCTTGAGTTTTTCGCCAAAATATAAATGAGTTTTTCATGACCTTTTCAGAGCCTTTTCTAAAGAATTAAATGGCCCTTTTTTTCCTATTTCTGTGTAAATCTCTATGCATCTGAAATGAGAAATGGTGCTTCACTTTTTTGGAAGAGAAGGAAAATAACATAAACAAACAAACATCTCCTTCCATTTTCAATTTCTTTAAACAATCAAACCCTGACGGAGGCACTAAAGGGACATGGAGATGGAGAAAAAAAATTAATCTGAGAAAAATTATATATTTGAATACTTTTGCGTTCATTCGCAAAGAACTCAAAAGTTTTGAGAGTGAACGCAATGTTTCTTGAGAGAATGCTAAAGCATGAAAATTAATTTTTCCTCCCATCACCATGTCCCAGTAGGGTTTCCGTAGCCATGTGATCCACAACAAAAACAAACAAATATACATGCAATTGTTAGAAACTACTTGACTCGACTCATCTCTGATGATTGTGCCAATGTTGTTTATATACAGCAAAAAAAAAAAAAAAAAAAAATATATATATATATATATATATATATACACTCATCGGCCACTTTATTAGGTACCCCATGCTAGTAACGGGTTGGACCCCCTTTTGCCTTCAGAACTGCCTCAATTCTTCGTGGCATAGATTCAACAAGGTGCTGGAAGCATTCCTCAGGGAGTTTGGTCCATATTGACATGATGGCATCACACAGTTGCCGCAGATTTGTCGGCTGCACATCCATGATGCGAATCTCCCGTTCCACCACATCCCAAAGATGCTCTATTGGGTTGAGATCTGGTGACTGTGGAGGCCATTTTAGTACAGTGAACTCATTGTCATGTTCAAGAAACCAATTTGAAATGATTAGAGCTTTGTGTCATGGTGGAAGTAGCCATCAGAGGATGGGTACATGGTGGCCATAAAGGGATGGACATGGTCAGAAACAATGCTCAGGTAGGCCGTGGCATTTAAACGATGCCCAATTGGCACTAAGGGGCCTAAAGTGTGCCAGGAAAACATCCCCCACACCATTACACCACCACCACCAGCCTGCACAGTGGTAACAAGGCATGATGGATCCATGTTCTCATTCTTTTTACGCCAAATTCTGACTCTAACATCTGAATGTCTCAACAGAAATCGAGACTCATCAGACCAGGCAACATTTTTCCAGTCTTCAACTGTTCAATTTTGGTGAGCTCTTGCAAATTGTAGCCTCTTTTTCCTATTTGTAGTGGAGATGAGTGGTACCCGGTGGAGTCTTCTGCTGTTGTAGCCCATCCGCCTCAAGGTTGTGCGTGTTGTGGCTTCACAAATGCTTTGCTGCATACCTCGGTTGTAACGAGTGGTTATTTCAGTCACTGTTGCCCTTCTATCAGCTCGAACCAGTCTGGCCATTCTCCTCTGACCTCTGGCATCAACAAGGCATTTCCGCCCACAGAACTGCCGCTCACTGGATGTTTTTTCTTTTTCGGACCATTCTCTGTAAACCCTAGAGATGGTTGTGCGTGAAAATCCCAGTAGATTAGCAGTTTCTGAAATACTCAGACCAGCCCTTCTGGCACCAACAATCATGCCACGTTCAAAGTCACTCAAATCAACTTTCTTCCCCATACTGATGCTTGGTTTGAACTGCAGGAGATTGTCTTGACCATGTCTACATGCCTAAATGCACTGAGTTGCCGCCATGTGATTGGCTGCTTAGAAATTAAGTGTTAACGAGCAGTTGGACAGGTGTACCTAATAAAGTGGCCGGTGAGTGTATATATATATATAAATTGTGTTTGATATTGACAGTTGTTTGGGGGATAAATTTATGCCAATATTTTTACATTTATTTAAAACAAATTATTGCACTGGAAGGCTTAATAGGTAGCCTAATGTCTACTTCTAATTCATTTCTTTAACGGTTAAACAGAGCAAAATTAAATTATAAATGTGTGTATATGTTACATGATACGAATGTTGTATTTTTTGACCAGTTTAAAAGAAATTTTAAATAGGATTTAAGGATTTTAAATTCAGGAAGGTCCAGGATTTAGTAATCCTACTAAAAGTTATTGAACAGCACAAACTGATGATTTGATTCAGATCAAAACCAAGATTGGTGCCTGGTTTCACAGACAAGGCTTAAGCCTATCTCAGATTAAAAATGCATGTGGGAGCTGTCTTAACTGAAAGCAACTTGCACATGTATATAAAAGGCCTGCTCCTGGCTTAATCTAAGCCCTGTCTGTGAAACCAGGCCTAGATTTTGTGATTTAATCCGAAATCCTTTTTTTTCTTTTGAACAACCCATTTTCAAGATTTGGTCCAACTGATAGCCGGAATCTAATCAGATTACTTTTGAACAACTAGTTTGGAAAAAGCCATTTAAGAAGCTTATTTCCAATAAATTGTCTCTTTGGACTGGGAGGATGTTTTGAAGTTTGAGTGTGTTTTTCAGTGCAATGACCTTATTGACCTTTTTAATAAAAAGTACTCCAACATTGACATTGATGCTTCGTTTCATTTTAGATTTTTCCTTTTTGGGCTCGTGGCTTTGAATATATACCTTGAAAGGATGATCTGTAAGACGGTGTTGGAAAATGAAGACCATGGTTTTCAACAGATGGTAAGACTAATGTATTATACTAAATGTGTTAGAATTGGTCCAGTAATGTAAATGGTATAATCTTGTTTACATGCCTAATTTACGGTCGGGTTTTTAACCATTGTTTTGATCAACTTTGGGTTTTTTTGTGCTGTGAGTGTGACAAAGAGGCTGAAGTTTGTCTTTCTTTCTTGCCATTGAACATTAAAGCTGCAGTAGGGAGTTTTGAGAAAACGTTGACTTAGCCTGAAAATTTGAACAAGCACAACTTACAGGTCCCACCCCCTTGCTCTCTGCTGCGCTACAGCCCTCCCTCCACAGCTCGTCCTCCACAGCGGAGCCTGTCGTGAACGCGCAGGCTAGTAAACAGGGCCACCGATAACAGCGGATAAAAAGTTATATGGCACATTCACTAATAGGGACTAAACGTCAATAATATGCTTTACATTGACTATGGCCTGCCCATACTTTGACTACAAACTTGGTCCTCAAATCATTATGTATTTTCCAATAGCCTACATGTAACTTTATAACGTTGCACTCTTTCTATAAGTTATAAATAGCTAAGATAACGTTAATATAACGGTAACTAACGTTACAGTATGTAAGTAATTATTCTAGCGATATATAATGCTAGATATAAGGTGTGCTAGTACATTATTTCAGCAACATGACAAGCCAGTGAATTAGCAGGTTTCAATTGTTGCTTAGCAGAGTGCGTGACATTTTATCTACATGTTATGCGGCTAGAGTTTTGACACCGAGTCAACTGTGTAATTCTTTCTTTTTCGCTTGTTTATCGTCATCAGTCTTTTTCCTTTTACCTCTTTGTTTTATGAGCAGGTGTCACTCGAGAATTGGCCGTTTAGGTTGTTTCTCCGTCATAAGCACAGCTGCAGCGCGCCGGCAATCTTGAGTTTGAACGACGGCTCGCGCTGTGCAAGAGAGGGGTGTGATCAGCGCGTACACGAGCGTGATTGACACTGCTAAGACATTCCTCCTGGCTCTGATTGGTTGTTTCTGACCGGGAGCGTGTATTTCTTGCAAATGGCAATAGGACCACTGGGAGGAGCCAGAGGATCTTGATTTTTACACAGATTATCTGTCTCATATTCTACTGTCAGGACATAATGACAGTTTTAGCAAATACATGTTTTCAAAAGTTACCTACAGGAGCTTTAAATGTTCCCCTCTTCTTAATTTTTTTTAATTTTATTTTTTTATCTATTTTGTGTAGTATTGCAGAGTAATTGTACCTGGGCCTAAACCTTGGTTTACTTTCTTGGACATTGTTAATATGTATATATGTATTTTTTTCTTGTCATATCTATGCAAACTGATTTGAGTACCCTAGAAAAAATCTGTCATATTCTCTGTCCCTTGCATTAGTGTTGCACTTGATTTGATTTCTTTAAACAACAACTAAAACCCTGATATGTAAAAAAAAATTGAAGTCAACACTGCCACAGTTGTCTAGGTTTAAAATGTGTGGAATTAAACTTTGCAAAATGAAATAAAAAATGATTCTGCATGTCAATCATGATTTTATTGGGATTTTTTTGCATAGGAGAAAATCACTTTTTTAGTGGGGCTTCTAAGAAAAACCATGGTCCTTTTTGGCTGCCTTGTTCTGCTGTACTTTTCTCTGCGCTACCGGAATATCAGCCGAGAGAGTCTTGAAATTCTCAAGGAGCTCAAAGAGACCCGCTCTGATCTTCAGCAGGCCTTGCAGAAAGCAGGTATCTCCAAGAGAGCAGATTCATTGATATTTAAAGGGTTTAGTTCCAGAATTTGTTTCTTGATCTTTCATGTGATACCTTCTAGAATGTATCTCGGCGTCTGTGGATGAATGGAAGAGGTCCAGACGAAAACACTGGGAAAGCAAGTGGGAAGAGAGAGATGACAGTTTAGTGATTCTGCATCCCTCTAGCGTCGTGAGTGCGGCCCTGTCGACATTCTCTCCGGCTCATGACAGTAAGCACTGCTTCGAAAAGTGTTGACATTTTAATCTGAGCAGGAGTCAATCTGCATGTTTCACAAGGTGACCTGTGCTCAGATGGTGATGTACATTTGTTTTATGAAAGATATGCAGTTCGGCATTATGTAATATGGACTAATATTTCAGCTATCACTCTAATATGTTGAACTAGCCTTAAACAGGGCTTCCGTGGGACTTAAAAAGTCTTAATTCGCCTTTACACAAATAAACCTCTTAAATGAAAGTAGAAAGTCAGGGGATTAAATCTTGCACGCATTGCTTGCTTCCTCAGTATTTTTGTCCTGATTCCAATACGAATATAGAAACATCTTTAAATCAAGGTGCATTTACTTGAGATGCAAATGTACAATGAAGTCTTCAAATCAAAGTGAGTTTATACTGTCAATGTCAATGAGTTATGAAAACATCCCTTTGAATGAAGTTGATTTTACTGAGTGCATTGACAGATATTTCTTCTTGTTTTAATTATAAACTTGCTTCATTTTTAATCAATTTCACAGAAAGGAAACTTTATATTTTGTTGTTTTGCATATCATGTAAATGTATCTTGATTTAAGAATCGTTAGTCAATTTATTCCTTACATTTTCTTTACTTGGTCTTAAAAAGGTCTTTAAAAAGTCTTAAAGTCCCTCTGTGGTGAAAATCAAGTTTTTAATGTTGTTTAATGTTTATGTCTGTGTTTTTTGTTTTTTTTAATATACTTTGAGACAAACCATGTGCAAATTCATAAGTCAACACCATTGCTGAATATTTTCTCCTTAAAGCCAGTCTCAAAATCGCAGTTTGAAATCGTTGGTGTTTCTGACGTCACAAACTTGTGATCATCAACCAGTGAATCTGTGAGCTTGCGTGAGTGGAGATGGGGCTCATTTGCATATTCAGAGAACTGATTGTACTAAATGAGGCAAGGGTGTAGAGTTGCATTCAAGCTATTTTAAGGCATGAAGTTTTTTTTTTCAGGGAAAAAAACTTTCAAATATGTCATTTTGGTGATCAAAGATGAGTTTTAAGTGATGCAATTATTGACTCCAGGGGGACTTTAAAATTACCTTCATAAAACCTGCAGAAACCCTGTTAAATGAATCCTAATTCCAATGCAAATTTGTATTGTCATCATCAGCCAGACATCACGAGACACAGGGCATCTCAGAAGCCCCGAAGAGACGTCAGCGGCGCACCTCAGGGTCTCGTTTGCGGACGTCTTCCGCCACGGTCTACAGTGTGCTGGTGGATGACAATGAGGTACTGTAGCACAACAATACAGGGATATTTCTGTCATTATTTACTCACCCTAATGTGGTTTCATTCCAGGAAGTTTATTATTAAATAACTTCTGGAAGAAGTTTTTAAGTTTGAGTGTGTTTCATAGTACAGTCAGCGACCTTGATAATGACCCCTTTAATACAAAGTTATGTCATGAAACTCTAGATGGTGCAGGCTCATAAGTCCTTAACCCAATCTGCTTGAAATGTCATCATTTGCTATAGATTGGTTCCCACTGTATCGGTAGCCAATGAGCTTGCTTCCCAACATTCAAATTCTTGCCTTGTTTTTGCTGTAGCAGTTTTCCAGCACACTTTCAGAAACCCTCCACCATCCCCAGCTCCACCTGTAGAGATCTGCTACGGGTAATTCATGTATGCTTGTACAGTGTATTGGCAGTGGCAGGTTCAACAGCAACAGCGTAGCAGATCTATTCAGCCAAGACCAAACACAATAACATTGTCATACTCATTTCTCCCAAGAGTTGCCATGACAGAAATAAAATGACCTCAAAAGGATAATCTAATGTGGTTCCAATCCACACCAGGAAGAGTATTAGAAAATAACTGTAGTTTTGCTTTTTTTCTTCACACAAAGCATATCAGTAATACTGTTATATTGGAGATTTTCAGTCACTTAAAAACATTCATTTATTTAGCCATTTCAGATTTTAGAAATTCTCGGCTATATGAACACATTTCTAGTGGTTTTCTCAATAATATTGGTCCATTTCTACCAAAGCAATTATGGATGTCTATTGCAAAAACTGCAGGGCATGTGTTGCCCAGCTGTGTTTTGATTGCAAATGTCCGTTTGCTAATATATTTGCATCGTTTCCCCAGCAGCCGAGGTATAGCCTGAGAAGTCGGAAATCTTTGTGCGGTTCAGAAGTTAGCCGAGTGAAGGACTGATGGCAGAATATCTGGAAAATGTTTTATTGCTAATCACTGGATCAGATCTTTGGATGGCAGAGATGCCAGATGGTCAGAAAGATCAAGGACATTTCATCCAATCTTAACGTATGTGTTTTTTATTGTTTTGTTTTTAAATATCCAATAAATAAATTCCAGTGTAACAATTTAAGAAACTGTCGGTTTTAACTACTGTATCAGAAAACCTCTTCCCCTTTACTACGAGTATGAAAGGTAAATTGTTTATCTGACTTTCTAAGCAAGACTGACATCTAATGGTCAAACCGTGTAATTGACGCCACCAATTATAGAAAAGGCTCAAACCACCTTCCTAGTCAAATACTGTAGTTAGTGGTGGGTAGGTCCTTTTCAAGTCAACAATGGATTGAATTCTGTACTATATGAGAGATGCAGGAATAGATTTGAAATCGTCTGAACCTCATTATACCTGCAATGATGATAAACATCCAACAAATGCATTTCATAGAGACGTGTGAAGAGATCCAGTCCTGCAGCTGGACAGAATCTACTGGCTCAACTCAACTTGTATAAACATTGCAGAGTTTGATGGCGCTCTTTCCACCCATAACATGTTCATTTATGGGAAAACACACTCAGAAGGTTCACACTGCTGACAGAAAGGCTAAGGGTCGGGGTAATATCAAAAAACCTGTCAAGGGCATGTCAAAGTTAATTTTTACTCTGAGATAACAAGAATTAAAAAATATATTAAATTACATATTGCTTAAAGGAAATGACATCTTTTTGTTAGGACCATTGAGTTGTATTTGTTTTTTGAACATTATTTGCTTGACAAATTGAGTTATTAAATAAATGTTGGACAATTTTAAATGTGTATTTAAAAAAACATTTTGCGATTGGACATGTTGCGATTCAATCATTACTAAGTTAAACCTTAAATGCAGTCATAATTCATTTACAGGATGAATCATGTGCCATAAAAGGTTATATGACAATGGAGTGCTATTAACCTAATGACACCCAATTATATCCACCCAAATGCAAAACTGGCTAAAAGTTGAATAGGAGTGTGTTTTTTCGTGTGTTTTTTTACCGTTTCTTTTTCTTCTTCTCTCTCTCTAAAGCTCTTCAACTTGAGCTACTGGTGCAATGTAGGTCAAATGGGATAGTCCATGTTTACAACCACTTCAGCTCTCCTCCAAAACCCACATATTTTTATGGGCTGTAAATGTTTAATTTATGAAATATAAACGATTTTCCCGATTAGGACACACAGGAGTTTCTTTTCATGAAGGGGGAACGTTCAAATCCTTTGAAAGTTTTTCCCCTGCCTCAGATTTCAAGCACAACCCCTTAGGAAAAGAAAGGGAGAGAGGGAGAAAAAAAATGAGAAACAGACTTTGGGAAAAGAGGAGAGAGAGATGGAGGGGGTTGAAGCTTGGTTTCATATGTCCTGGTGGAGGAGGAGAAGGAGGAGGTTTTCAGTTTAACACACTTTGGCGTTGTCGAGTCCCACAAAAGAACAGACGAGCAACCGGTGGAGAGCGACAAGAGCGGAATTGTGGAATTGTAACAATGGAACGTCGCGACATTGTAACATTTGTTTAGTTTTAGAATCTCGTTTAAAAGACGCCGACAGTCGGAGGAGTTTTCAAACCGCGAATGTGAATTGTGTTTAAAGCAGCTGAGTGTGCATATTTTGGGATACGGTTATTCCGAGAGTAAACGGAGGGGAAAACCGTTGGAATAAGAACGACAATATGCGGCGTCTTTTACATTCCGAAAGAAGAAGTTTAACGGGAAAGTTCGTTTTAAAACGCGAATGTCACTAACAGAACCAATGTGGTTATTCAAAGGTATTTTGCATTGGAAACGTCATGTTATAACGTCAGTCTCTTCTGATATGGATTCATAATGTATGGACGTTATTCATTGCGTCTGTTTGTGTACATTCTGTGAGCGCCTATGAGGATGACCGTAAGACTGCAAATGGCATTCGAGGATGATTGCTTTTCATAAAGGTCATTGCGTATTGGGAGTTCTTTATATCACATTTGCTTGGACTTGTATGTGGTTCTGGTTAAACTGATCGTTGATGGCTGTTTCTGTTGCTCAAAGCGACTTGGATCGGATTGACTCTCCACCGGCTGATCAGGAGGGATCGATCTGCCTTATCCAGCATCTACAGGAGGAGGAGGAGGTGGCCGTCTGGACACAAGAGTGGCTGGTGGTTTTGCACCTGGACTATTTTGAAGATACGGCTTTTATATCTGGACCTGGAATATAGAGCCCGTTCCCTGGAAATAGCCCGCATCTCGTGCCCTATATGCCTGCGTGAGGGTTTTGCAGGCAGGGATGCAGTTGAATCGACCCAAGAGCGCGCATCTCATCAGCTCCAGTCCGCACAATTCATCCTCCTATTCCAACCAGTTCAAAAGCATGCGCTTCTCTTACCACATCAGCAGCGGCTTATCCAGTCCACAGCCAGCCCTGCGCAGAACAGGTGAGTCTGGATCTTAAATGACACTATAAATATGCTCAGATCCCAATTTGATTTCCTTTCAGTAGCAAGAGTGTTTTGGTTTCTCATGCAGTAGCTACTGCCAAAGCATCATTATTACACATAACAGAGGTGACACTGATGTATGCAAACTTAGATGTGTCAGTGACAAATAAGGATGATAGGAAGGAGAATTCTTAGAAGAATTAGTGCCAACCTCTTGAAAAAGTAATATTTGCATTGTTGTGTTAATATTTTTGTTGTTTAAGGTATTTTCTACCAAAATGATTTATTGCCTCTATAAAAATGTCAAGTGATGTAACCACCGTTTTCAAATATATTTGTTCAAGTTTGAATCATACGTTTTCTTCAAGATTACTGCATTTAACCTGAACACGACTTTTCAAAAATATGTTTTAACATCACAGTCATGAGGTCCTGTCTGTTTTGATGGTTTTCTTGTCAAATGACAACAAAATGGCTTCCAGTGTGTTGGTCATGCCACACTGACTTTAATTTGGGTGACACTTTTTTTTTAAGATCATACATTTTTTTGTAATTTTTTTAAATGATGAAAGATTATGCCATACTTATTTAAGTTTTTTCAAGAATATCAGCCTTTTAATATCAATCTTTATGGTTACATCACCTTGACAATTTTTACTTTTTACTTTAAATGATTTTTAATGTGATTGTGATATAGTTGAGTTGCCTTTTTAGTGTATATTTGATGGATTTAAACAACAAAAACGAGCATCACATCATCATTGATCCAAACGTAGATAAAAATCTGATAAAAACCTTAATGATTACTGGAAAGAAATCAGCATTTGTCTTATTTATCCAGCATAACACTGAAGCAATTGTGCTCTGAATGAATGTGCTTGAAGACAAGGTCATCAGTCAAAGTGGCATAATGTATTTTCTTGCCAGCACACGTTTGTCTCAGAGGACAGCATGTCACTAAATCAATGCCCTACCAGCAGACTGACATTTTCATGTGATTCCCATTCAAAGGAGATAATATAAATGTAGAAACAGCATGCAATGAGTATCTTGATGAAAGAGTTTGCAGTAGCCACAGGGTGTTTGTGATGCAGTTCGTCAGATGTTCGTTGTGCATGTAATGATATTCACATGCTCTGCTGCTCACTTGCTCATAAGGCAACAGCAGAGACCTTGAAGCGAAGCCTCGTCGTCCTCGTGTGTCTTTTTGGTGCTACGCTGCCATGTTTGTACTCGACTGTGTGGTTACTTGAGGGTCTGTCTGTTTGGGATATTTACTCAAGCACTGCACTGTGAAATCCAATTAAATGTGTCTGGAGTTCAGTTCAGTTCAGTGGGTTGCTTGCATGTGTGCTGACCACCATACTCGCTAGTGGCTTTTTAGAAACTGATGCACTGGAAGGCCAAACACACGAAGCGCCGTCCCTGGTGAAGGTCTTCTTTAATAACTAGTGGTGTTTGCTCAATCAATTACTGTTGCTCATGGTTTGGGTTAGGGACTTGTACAAACCCTTGACACATTGGTGATTGTCCTGCACTGTTTGCACATGAATGGTGCTTTAAATTGTGTGGGTTACTATAGCTATTGTTCTGCAGTGCATGATGATATCTGTGTTTGAAGAGCACATCATTCATGAATAATCTGATGTTGACCTTAAAGAAGGAACATGGAGTAGAAATATCACTGTCTGTTGCTGACTGAACACAAGAGGATCAAACAAACCTGGATTATAGAGCGCTCGCTCGAGAACAGTTTCCATTATCACTCATAAAAATAGCATGTAGGCTGTTATTTTGAAGCATTTTTATCCTCATTGCATATGACCGTAACAGATGGGGTTGTGACTCGTGGGGTTTTTGTTCACACATTTAAAGTTATTACTCTAAAATGCACTCAGATCTGCAATCAATATAACTGTATCAGATATGTTTGATCGCTCTTAAAGCGATAGATTTGCTGTTTAAAAGAGGCCTATAGCTGGAGACATTGAATGGGTTTAATCATGTGCATTCTTAGCATTGATTTTTATTAAAAGGTTGGGGTCTGAAAGAGTCTCTTCTGCTCACCAAGGCTGCATTTGTTTGATCAAGTTAAAACAGTAATATATTTTACTAAAAGAACTTTTGCTTGTATATTAGTACCAACTGACATCAGTGTTTTTTTTTTTTGACTTAGCATGTTTTTTAAAGTACATTGGAGAACCATGTAAATGCCATGAAAATGATCATAAATCATTCAATACCATGGTGGTATTATCATTTGATACCATTAATGTACCATGATATCGCCACGGTTCTTTTTTTTACCAGGAAGGTCTCAGTGGGAAGTTGTGCTTGTCTTCATTTTAAGAATACATCATTCTGTTGTAGAAATAATTGCAGAAACCATATTTTCACACCATGTTTTCTGTCTCTGAGTTTGTTTGCCTTGGATGAAGGAGTTTTGCTGGAAAATGTAGGAATGTGAGGGAAGAACGTGTTGCAAATACTTGGATCCGTCTATTCTTAAAAGGGTGTGTATCTGATCAACGCACGAGTACGATCATCCCCACAACTCCCATGATCATTGTCACATAGTTTTGGAAGAC